CTACAGTGAGGCGCAGGGGTGGTCTTCGGGTGTAAGAGAGGACAAACGTGGGAGGAAAGTCAGGGGATAGGTGAAGGATGATGATGATGATGATGTGAGGGCAATTACCTTGTATTGGCGATGGTCTGCATGGGCGACATCTTCAAGGACGAATCTATAGGATGTCTCCTACGGAGTTAGATAAGCTTCGCCTCCAACTCAAGGAGCTCACAGAGAAGGGATGGATCCGGCCCAGTACCTCCCCTTACGGTGCGCCAGTCTTATTTGTCCCAAAGAAGGGAGGTCCATTAAGGATGTGCATTGACTATAGGGGCCTCAATGCCATCACCGTAAAGAATGCCGAGCCCCTACCCCGCATCGACGACCTCTTGGATAGAGTGCAGGGATGTCGGTACTTCACCAAGATAGATCTGAAGTCCAGATACCATCAAATTGCCGTTAGACCTGAGGACCAGCACAAAACCGCATTTCAGACCAGGTACGGTCTGTACGAGTTTGTGGTGATGCCCTTTGGTCTATGCAATGCACCTGGTACATTCCAGCACGCGATGAACAGGATATTTCATGACTATTTAGACAAGTTTATCGTCGTGTACCTCGATGATATTCTTATCTTTAGTAGGATTGTAGAGGAGCACGCTGAGCACTTGAAAATAGTGCTAGGTCTCTTACGACAGCACCAGTACAAGGTAAACTTGGACAAATGCGAGTTTGGTCGCACCAAGTTCTTGTACTTGAGATGGATTGAGGCCGGAAGATGCCAAGGTGGCCAGCATACGTGACTGGCCCAGACCTCGGACAATTACTGAGGTCAGATCGTTTTTGGGGATGACGGGCTACTATCATCCGTTTGTGAAGAACTATAGTACTATAGCTTCCCCATTAACGGATCTAACTCGACTTGACACCCCTTGGGAGTGGACTGAAGAGTGTGAGGTAAGCTTCAAGAAATTGACGTATGCTCTAACACACTATGAAGTTCTCAAACTTCTTGATCCTGACAAACCGTTTATAGTGACCACAGATGCCAGCCAATATGGCATAGGCGCGGTCCTTGCGCAACAGGAGGGGCCAAAGTTGAGACCTATCGAGTATATGAGTAAAAAGATGCCTTCCCAGAAGTTAGCTAAGTCCACGTATGAGAGAGAACTCTACACCCTGTACAAAGCGCTTGTTCATTGGAGACACTACCTCCTAGGGAGATTCTTCTACGTGAGGTCGGACCATGAGACTTTACGCTGGATCAAGACACAGCCAGTCTTGTCAGACGCACTCAAGAGATGGATTCAAGTGATAGACATGTATGACTATCAACTTGAKCCTATCAAGGGTACGTACAACAAAGTGGCTAATGCATTATCGCGAAGGGCAGACTATTTGGGCGCGCTAGTCACTGAGTTTGGCATATCTGACGAACTCACTCGATCATTGGTGGAAGCCTATCAGGGAGATCCAGTTATGTCAGAAATCATCCGTAGATTCCAAGCAAAGGACAAAAAGACTTTGGATGAATTTACGGTGGTAGATGGCTTGCTGTTTCTCGAGAAGGCAGGGAATAAAAGATTGTGTGTCCCGTATAGTGAGTCTTTACGTAGTTTATTTTTAGGCGAGTGTCATGACGCAACTGGTCATTTTGGATATAAAAAGACCTCAACTAACCTAGTGCAGAGATTTTGGTGGCCCACTATGATGCAAGATATGAAAAGGTATGTTGAAACTTGTCAGGTCTGTCAAAGGGACAAACCTAGGACTGAGGCTCCGCTTGGGCTCATCAAGCCCTTGCCGATTCCTGAAGGTCCTGGTCAAAGTGTGTCCATGGACTTCATGGATACTCTTGTGACCAGTAAGTCTGGAAAAAGGCATATCTTCGTGATAGTGGACCACTTTTCTAAATATGCAAGACTGATCATTATGCCAGAAACTGCGAAAACTGACTATGTCATCAAACTGTTTCTGGATCACTGGGTTAGGGATTTTGGACCACCCACATCAATAGTGAGTGATAGGGATGTAAGGTTTACCAGTGAACTGTGGCAGGCAACTGCTGAACAAATGGGAACCAAGCTCCAAATGACTTCAGGGAATCACCCTGAGTCAAATGGTCAGGCATAACAGATGAACCGAGTAGTACAGCACCTGCTTCGACATTATATTAAGCCAAGTCAGGATGACTGGGACGAGCAGTTACCTCTCGCCGCCAGCCTGTACAATAACGTTGTGCATAGTACTACGGGTATGACTCCCAACCAGCTACATCTTGGTTGCAAACCCAAAACTGCGCTTGACTTTCTGCTATCGGAAAGGCAACCCACTGCAGCCCCTGGCAGCATAGAGTATGCTATCAAGTATGAACAGATGCTGCAGAAGGCAGTGGAACATATTATGCTATGATTGCATCTGAGAACAAACATAGACGACCTTCTAACTTTGAGAGAGTCTGGGTGAGGTCATCTGAACTGGGTCAGGAGATAGGGATCTCAAGAAAACTGATGCCACAGTACTTTGGGCCCTGGGAGATTTTAGATATTGTAGGGGATCAACCGGATGGGCCTTCATACGTGATTCGCATCCCTGCGCACTTGCGGACTTACCCTGTTTTCCATGCATGGCACCTTTCGCTGCCATATACCAGTTTCCCTCTCGGAGATCAATGCTGCCCCCAACCATGGATGGCGAAGTGGACATTGACCAGCTTGTCGAGCACCGAGTGATGCCTGTTCCTCGACCATCCGGCAGAGGACGCCCTCCTAAACCGAGAATGCAGTATCGTGTGAGCTTCAGACATCATCTGGATCCTAAAGAAGATCGGTGGTTCACACGAGAAGAACTCATGAGAACAGCACCTCAAGTGATTGCAGGCTATGAAAGATTACTCAAAGGGAAAATGCCTGCAGAATAAGAGACTTCTCAGAGGACCTACGAAGTAAAGGAGGAGGGAATGCGCGGATCTGGGTCCTCGGTAGGCCTATGGGGCCCTGTTTGCAGCATTGCCAGCCCTAAGTGAAGGCGGAGGTGCCCGCCCTAAGTGAAGGCGGGCCTGACATATCGCAAGAGGCCCTCGATTGTCAATTTCATATTCGGGGTCCAGGTAGTTGTGATGCGCCAGTTGGTTGAAAGAAACTCAGGCCGGGCAACACAGACAATTCCACGGCCTTCCGGGCTTTTCCAAAGAATGCAGGCCCTGGGCGTGATTCGCAGCCTCATACAGAGACAATTGGGCGCCCAACCTAACAAGGCCCAGCAGCCCAGTAGCTGCTGTACACAGGCAGCCTCCTGGGGCCTTCCGGAAGCTTCTGGGCCCAGGCCAGTGCAGCCAGGCTGCACGAGCAGGCCAACTCTTTCCATAAAGGAAAGAGCTCTACCCTGGCTGCCTCATTCAGGCACTCGCATGYTAGCGGCAGCGCTGCTGKAGCAAGAGCTCGYGGYTGCTGGCTGGCKCTGAGMGGCGAGGTGCAGCACGTGCGGTCGTGCAGGGAAGAAGGGCGCTGCTGAGGGCAGCGCCATAGCCCAGCCACCATAGCTGGTGGGCTTGGACTACAGTGAGGCGCAGGGGTGGTCTTCGGGTGTAAGAGAAGACAAACGTGGGAGGAAAGTCAGGGGATAGGTGAAGGATGATGATGATGATGATGTGAGGGCACTTACCTTGTATTGGCGATGGTCTGCAAGGGCGACATCTTCAAGTACTTCGGGTTGCTGCTGATGTCAACAGTTGCATTGTCATTTAGCAGGCTGTAGTAGCTGTGTAGAAGTATGCTGGGCGCTGAGCGCCAAGTAGGAGTGTGAAGGGACTGGACTCTTGTGCTGGTGTGGAGAGAGCATGCTCTCCTTGACATTGGTTTTCAGTACTATGAACCTCCATTGGTGTATTATTGGTGCAATGCTGCTCTCTGGACACAGTGTGACCATCTGGCTTTCAAAGTGATGGTGTACTCTGGAATTGTCATCTCGCTGTGGCTTATTTTCCATGCAATTCATTCTTTTTCAAAAAATTTGAAAATACGTTAGAATTAAGTAACTTCTTTTTCGATATTTCTTTTTTTCTTTTCTTTTCGAAATTCGAAAATAATTTTACTTAATTCCTTTTCTCGTATATTTTAATAAATTTTCTTTTGAAATTCTCAAACTTTGGGAATATTTAATTCCTTTTGAAACTTCACGGTTTTCATACCCCAAAATTCATTTCCAATAAATTTAACCAGAATTTATTTATTCGATTTTTATTATTATTTTTTTTTGTGGATATTTTCAGCATTTATTTCATTCCTGAAAATTTTGTGTTTTCTCCCGCGCAATCCTTTTCCGAATTTTTGAATTAATCTTGAATAAATTACTCCAAATCGGAATAATAATTTTGAATTAATTCTCATTTTATTCATTTATTGTTTTGGCAAAAACCTTTACTTATTTTTGAATAAATCAATTAATGTTGTAAATACCATCCCCACCCCCACCCCTGCCACACCTACATCTCCACATGCCACCACGCCAAACCAAGACCTCCCAACGCGCAGCCGCCGACGCCGCCGACGCCGCCGTCGCTGTCGCCGTTGCCGCCGTGTCTGCCTCCACCTCATCCGCAACCGTCGCCTCAGCCACCGCATCCACTCCATCTTCCCCCAACATGGCCCAATCCTCCAGCATCGATATGACCGCCGTTAACACCCAGTTTGTTGACAGCCTCGCTCGCGAACTTACGTGCAAACAAAGATCCGAGCCCGTTGCCACCGATATCGCCACCCTCATTCGCATGATGTCCTCTTTCCAAACGGACATCCGCGCGTCCATCACCAAAATCGAAGCCAATATCTCTGGCCTATCCAACCGTATGACCTCTATTGAGCATCAAACCCCGACAATCACAGTGGTCACGACCACGGCACCCACCTCTACGACCGTGCCTACATCCACCACCCTCGAGTCCCAAACCACTACCCCCTCCATCCAGGTAGTCACCACCACCACCCCCACGTCCACAACC